AGTCTGATACAGTGAGGATATGGAGGAAGAAACAGCTCCGTTTTATTCAGAGGCTCAAACTGAGCAAAAACATGAATTTGCTGCAGATGCTGATATTAATATGATGAAATTCTGATGTTTGTCATGTAAATCAATGAGATCAGTAGAGCAGATACTGACATAAAATGATCTAAATATCAGCGGTCGCTCTATATCTCCAGTAATCTGTCTCAGTAAGATGAGATTGAAATGCTCCAAACATATAATGCAGTGATTGAGAGCTGAAGAAATAAAGGCTCCTCAGAAGATCCTGAGGATCAGATTTGAGACTCTAAAACATGATTGATGGAGAATCAAGTAAAGCTGAGCTGCTTCAGTCCAGTAAGAGTTCTTCTGGAGATTACTGCAGTTATTCTGACGCTTACTTGATAAAAACCAGTCAAGATTTGACACGAGAAGCAGCAGCTGAAGCTGGACATTTTTACAATTACACTAAAAGAGCTTTGACTGGATAAAAAACTCTAAACTATAAATGAGACGACAGAAGGCGTGGAATAGATTGAGTACAACAGCAGAGTTTGATCATGTCGATCATTTAGAGACCTTGCGTATCAAATATGGTGCGGGTTCTATATTAAGATATTTGTTATAAGCACTATGATGATTCTATTAGTGTATATAGAGTTCATAAAGTGTCTGAGTGTTAAAACAGTCTGTATTTCTCAGGAGACACACACCTTACGGGAATCAGACAGACTACAGGATATTTGAACTCAACAAACGGCTTCAGAACTGGACAGAGGTGAGGCGGATCTTCTGCTGTTTTGTTGACATTTACAGCTCTGTGTTTCTCAGTCTTAACTATCAGCACTTTAAACATTTTAATAATTTAAGATGCTTTTCATATGCCTGACATAAACCCTATAACGGTAGCACAGAATCATCTATCGGCTTCAGCTGGCTGAATGATATCAGAGAGCCATCTCATACTGTTTTTCTCTCACAGGAGTGTGATAATCTGTGGTGGGACGCTTTCACTACTGAATTCTTTGAGGATGACGCTATGCTCACCATCACGTTTTGTCTGGAGGACGGTCCTAAACGATACAGTGAGTGTCATGTATCAGGCGTTTTATCCAGAGACGTTTAGATCTGATATTAAGATCTGTGTCAGGTGATCTGATTGTAAGTTGTCTGTTGAGTGCAGGATTTACTTTGAAACAGTTTTCACACATTTGGAGCCGATTAAGAGATGCTTGATTAATATCCATATAAAGGGAATTACAATAATCAAGCCTCGTTGAAATAAAAGCACGAATAACCCTTTCAAAGTCCTTAAAAGAAAGAAATGGTTTTACTTTAGCTAAGACTCTGAGATGGAAAAAACTGGTTTTGACTACCCTACTAATCTGTTTGTCAAATTTGAGCGCACTATCAAAATACACACCCAAACTCTTCACAGGTGGTTTCACACAGGAAGACAAATGGCCAAAATTTAAACCAGGGGAGGTAGCAGCTTCTGAAGGTTCAAAAGCTATAATCTCAGTTTTACCTTCATTGAGGTGAGGAACATTTTAAGGACATCCATGCCTTAACATCTGCTAGACAAGCCAACAGAGTATCCAAACCCATGTTATTAGATCCCAGGGGCAGATAGATTTGGGTATCATCTGCATTACAGTGGAAGGAGATACCATGTTTCTTAAAGACCGACTTCAGGGAAAGCATATAGAAGGAGAATACAATCGGAGCGAGAATCGAGCCTTGAGGGACACCTCAAGTAAGAGGAGCTGTATCCAACGTAAATTCACCAACACTAACAGAGAACCTTCTATTATTGAAATAGGATTGAAACCATTTGAGAGCATTTCCCTAAATGCCCACCCAGTGCTCCAAACGAGAGATCGGAACAGAATGGTCAATTGTATAAAATGCCGCCCTCAGGTCTAACAGCACTAACACAGCAGACTTGCCAGAATCGAGAGTCAGTAAAATATAATTTAGAACTTTTACCAGTGCTGTTTCTGTGGAATGGTTTTTCCTAAAACCCGATTGGAACACATCGAAAGTATTGTTATTAAGCAGAAAGCTCTGTACTTGGTGAAACACTATTTTCTCTAAAATTTTAGACCTACAAGAAAGATTTGAGACTGGTCTAAAATTAGTCGGCACTGTTGGATATAAATTAGGCTTTTTAAGAAGTGGATGGACAGTGGCATGCTTCATGTCATCTGGTACTATTGCTGTTTAAAGGCAGCTATTCATAATCTTTAGAACAGTAGGCCCAATCACCGCAAAAATTTGTTTAAAAAATGGTGGAGGAAGAATGTCACGGGGGTGGGGGATCTAGAAAGTTTAAGATGGCTTACAATGTTTTGTAAAGCAGGCAGAGTTACAGACTCAAACTGACGCAGAGTGGAGGGACAGAGGGTCTTGTCCACAGAAAATTTGTATAAAATTGGTCACAACTGAAGGGTTAACAGCGGCATTTATAGTGGAAAAAAGTGCTCTTGGAATGTGAAAGTTCTTTTCAATCAGATCTGAGAAGTACTTCAACTTCGCTGTTTTCAGCACTTTCTGATATTGTATCAGATTGTCCCTAAGTATTTCATATGAAACTTGCAGCTGATCTTTTTTCCACCTTCTTTCGGCCCTTCTGCAGACCTGTCGAAGAGCATGAGTACTAAATGGCACAATAACTGTCAACTGTACTTTAGTTACATATTTTCATGAAATAACACCAGAATATTTGAGAATTTAATATTTGTCCTTATTGTCTCTTGCAGCAATCGGCCGGACGCTGATTCCTCGTTACTTCAGGAGTGTGTTTGAAGGCGGCGCCACTGAGCTCTACTACATTCTCAAACACCCTAAAGAGTCCTTCCACAGCAACTTTGTGTCTCTGGACTGTGATCAGTGTACGATGGTCACGCAGAACGGAAAACCCATGTTCACACAGGTGGGTGTGTGTTTAATGTGACGGTCAGCAGGATGTTTCTGTGGTGTGTGTGTAACTCTGCTGGTCTCCTCAGGTGTGTGTGGAGGGCCGTCTGTACCTGGAGTTCATGTTCGATGACATGATGAGAATAAAGACGTGGCATTTCAGCATCCGGCAGCACAGGGAGCTCATTCCCCGCAGCATCCTGGCCATGCATGTCAGTTCCTCTTCCTGCATCTCACAGCGTTTCTTCTTCTAGCTGGTGTTTCATACCTGATGATGGTGTGATTTGTGTGTCTGTCTCAGGCTCAGGACCCGCAGATGTTGGATCAGCTGTCCAAAAACATCACCAGATGTGGCCTGTCAAACTCCACCCTCAACTACCTCCGAGTACGAACACCACAACACAACACTGAGACGACATCTACAGCTTTCATTCAGCTGATTAGTAACTAGGGCTGTCATGTTAATTTGATGTGATTAATTATGGAAAAAATAATGTGTTAAAATAATATATTATATTATTATATTATATCATATGATATACTTTAGCAATCCCACACCAGTAAGAGTGCTGCTTTTCCACAATATCTGCACCATTGCAAATGTGATACTGATTTTATACAAGAGTTCAGTAATGTTGTGTTTGCTCAATATTGCAAATGAAAACAGTTCCAATCAAAGTCACAGCAGAACTGTTTAGCATCTCTGATCAGCACACAGCAGTGATTTGTCACTGAACGAATCCACTTTTTTTTTTTAATGAAGTAGTGAGCCAATGATTCAGTGACTCATTCATAAAGAAAGTTACTTGCTTCATTTCTGAATGAATCAGCTGTTTGAAGGAATCAAATGAGTCAATGATTCAGTGACTCATTCATAAAGAAAGTCATTAGGCTTGTTTGAGATGAGCAAAATCTGCGCAGAACCGATCACCGGTGATCACCGTGAGATGCATGCCGGTTAGAAATATGTCCGAGTTACGTCCGACCTATGACAGTGCGATCTCTGTGATGTGATTGTTATCATATATCCATAAAAATCTAAAATCCATCTTTGTATTAAAGTACAAATGAATGATAAATACGCCTTTCGTATGGAATTAAATAGCAAGCACTTTGAGTGTCTTGTTCATCATATTTATTTTTATATAAAGGAAACGGAACTGAAATTATATCATGTTAATCAGCAGCATAGCACATGAGTGAGAATAACGCGATATCTGTCTTTGATCTCGTTGGTATCTGTTCCACTTTGAGAGGTCAGAACTGTCCGTCTTGACTGCGCTTATTTCACTCCTCCCCTCACTGCAGCCGCCTGCTCTCACCTACATTTCAGGCGAGGCGAGGTGCATCTCAAACAAGCCTATTTGCTTTATTTCTGAATGAATCAGCTGTTTGAAGGAATCGAGTGAGTCAATGATTCAGTGATTCATTCATAAAGACAGTCACTTGCTTTGTTTCTGAATGAATCTGCTGTTTGAACAAATTGGGTGAGTCAATGATTCAGTGATTCATTCATAAAGACAGTCACTTGATTTGTTTTGGAACAAATCAGTTGAATGAATGACACTTTTTTTTTCTTTTTTTTTTTAGGAAAATCACATTTACATTTTTTAAACCTATTCCCATTTAAAACCCATTAATCTCATAGCATTATTTATGCAATTCAGATTCATGCCAACTCTCTGAGCCACTTCAGATGCAGCTTCTGGAAATAATGTTATGGCTTCATTGTAGCCTTAAAGGTTTATGTGTAACAAATTCTATGTTTTATGTAAGCTACTTTTTTAATTCAATGCTTTTCTAACCTAACACAATAATGGCTTTAAATGATCTTTTCTCAGCCCAAATTGATGTGCGATGAATTAGATTCCTCGGCACATCAGAGAGCACTATTAGTAACTAGTCTTGTGTTGTTGTGTCTCTCTCGGTCTCAGTTGTGTGTGATCCTGGAGCCCATGCAGGAGCTGATGTCCAGACACAAGACGTACAGTCTGAGTCCCAGAGACTGTCTTAAGACGTGTCTGTTCCAGAAGTGGCAGAGGATGGTGGCTCCTCCAGGTCAGGAGGCGCTCGTGTCTCTCAGACACTCTGCTGGTGTTTGTGTAGCGTGTGTTTGAGCTCATGTGTGTCGCGTCTCTCCGCAGCTGAGCCGGCCAGACAGGCGCCGAGTAAGAGACGGAAGCGCAAGATGTCGGGCGGCAGCAACATGAGCGCCGGCGGCGGCTCCAACAACAACAGCAACAGCAAGAAGAAGAGCCCAGCAAACAGTTTCCCGCTGTCCAGTCAGGTCCCAGTGAGTAACCAATCACGTGTCATCTTACAGCACTTTACAGGCAGTTTACTAAAGCAACAAAAGCCAGCCAGTCAAAACACATTTGAAATGTAAACGTGATTTAAAAAAAAATGTACGAATGTATATTTAAATATTCATACATTTATGTAATTTATAATATATGTATACATATGTGTCCTATTTATGTAATTTATAATGTGTATATATTTTTATGTACATAAGAATATATAATTTTTTTAATATATATTCATATTTTAGTAATTTAATTATTAGATTAATATATTTGTATTGTTAGATATATTTTTTTATGTATATACATATATGTATCTTATTTATGTAATTTATAATACATGGAGGAATGTATTTATTTATTTATATATATATATATATATATATATATATATATATATATA